CAGATGACAAAGCGGTTCTTGCAAAATACCATCTGTATGTCATACTTTAAACATGTACTCAATTAGACTTAAAACGATCTCTCTTTGCAATCTAGACACTCATACTAGAGTACATACCGGATCAACTTGCCATATGATAACTGTTGTATCTTTTGATCCTGTTGCTAGTTTAGTGCCATCGTTAGAGAATTTACAGAACCACACTTCATTACAATGCTCCGTAAGGATCTGCTGAGTATAACATGGGAACTGCCTCCTAAAACAAAGAAGTCCACAAATAGTTATTCGTTCAAAATTGATTAATCATAATGACAAAGGTTAAACAACTGATAAAACTTCCTTGGAGATCAAAAACTTTAAAAATAAGATAAGAATGCACTGATAATCTTAAAAATCAAGTTTAGTGATTTGTCAAAAATGGCGGTATTATACATCAGTCAAAGCAATCTCGAACTGCCTCCTAAAACAAAGAAGTCCACAAATAGTTATTCGTTCAAAATTGATTAATCATAATGACAAAGGTTAAACAACTGATAAAACTTCCTTGGAGATCAAAAACTTTAAAAATAAGATATGAATGCACTGGTAATCTTAAAAATCAAGTTTACAGTGATTTGTCAAAAAAGGCGGTATTATACATCAGTCAAAGCAATCTTAGGGGAAATCAGTAACCCAAAATCTGGTTCAATTTACAATTTATTCTTTTTAAGAGCCATCTAAAATCAGAGTAGCAAAATATTTTTTAGAAAAGACTGATGCACAATCAAAATTATAGGGCACAGAGCTAAACCCCAAGGACAGATGAAGTCAGGGGAACAAATAGAATAACAAAAACCTGATTAAAGCCGGACAGACCTAAGATAAAAGTAATACAATAAAGCAGACCAAAGAGTAACCCCAAGGTCCCCTATGCGCTCATTCCGATGCATCAGCAAATTAAAAACGCACCTGGAAAGCTGTTGAATATTCTGCTGAAATGCTCCCAAGATTCTCACCCACAAGAAAAAGACAAAACCCCTCCAAACAAAGACCTGCTGCGGGTTTGCTCTAAGCAGCGGTCACCAACTGGAGGTCCACGAGGTGCTCCACACACACCCACGCCCCTTCTTGGGCATGAACTTTCTACTTCCTCCTAAAATCTGAGGGTTCCCCGGGCCTTGCAGTCAGGGGAGCAGTGGGCAGCGGCGGCTCGTCCCGGGCAAACCCCTTGGTCCTGCCTCCAAGGCCCCCTTTTCTCTGACTTCCCAGTGAGCTAGCAGCAGCCCGGCCTTGGCTCCCTCCTTTCCTACGACGGTTCTCGGAGCCGAAGCGGAGCACCGCCTCGGCTCTCCTGCTGTTTCTTCTACCCCGAGTCCTTCCTTGTCCCACTGCCCCCGGCTCTCACAGGCACCCTCTCAAAATAAATGAATGAGAATTACAGGGCACACAGCATCCAGTCTACTGACAATCAGTTACATTTGAATGTCACTAACATGGTAAACTGTCACTATTTTATTGTTACTTAAACTTTTAAAAGACGAATAGCCCGCTGTTTATTAGAAGACTAATTTTGGATGTATACAAGTGATAGTTTACCTATGTATTCAAGTAAATTTAAGATTTAAGATGGTGTTAAAAAAGTATCAGTACCTTCCCAAATAAAACTGAATGTAGCATTTCAGATGCTGAACCTTAGCATTTTAACTTTCTATAAAATATTACATAATACTTTACTTAAAAATTAGTATTTGCAAAGCAATCTGTGGAGACATCTTTCCATTGATTGCTGCTGAAAAAACCCCACCAAGTCATTAAAAAACAACAACACAACCCTATTCTTTACCGGTCAAATTTAACAAAAAATTAGTATACATTAACTGAAAAATGTAAATAATGTACAATCTAATGAAAACTTTTAAGTGCTGATTAGGATATTTTAAAAACTTATAATTTAGCCCCAGCCAGTTTGGCTCAGTGGATAGAGCGTCAGCCTGCGGACCAAAGGGTCCTGGGTTTGATTCTGGTCAAGGTACATACCCTGGTTGCAGACTCCTCCCAACCCCGGCCCTGGTCGGGACTCATGCAGGAGGCAACCAATCAATGTTTCTCTCTGTCTTTCCCTCTCTCCAAAAGATCAATGGGAAAATATCCTTGGGTGAGGATTGAAAAATAACAGTTATAATTAACTTTATCATAATTTTCTATTCTCCAGAAAGAACAGCCGGTATTTTATTTCAATGCTAAGATTTAGCTTTGAAAATATAGTTTCTGGTTTCAATGCTAAAATATAGTTTCTAAAAAGGAGTAAAGCAGATAGTAAGAAACATCAACTTTTCTTTTGAAGACCAAATATCTTCTATCATTTACTTTCAAAGGTATTGGTATAGAAGTTAAAACACTTAGGAAAAATGTAGGTCACACTCTCATAGATTTCAGTTTCCAAACAGGAAGGCAATCTCTTAACCTGCTGACACCTTTGAACCATAAAGTCTGCCATAAATACCTTCCAGTGTATTCCACCAACAATGAACTCAAGAACCAAAAAAAGATTTGGGTTCAAAACTGCCTTAATTTTTACACTGGTCTCAAATTCCCTGAAGAAGCTATGAAATAAGAAACCATATAGCCTTTTAATCTATTATCTCCTCCAATCTCTATTCAATTTAAATGAAAGACTTACCTACTCAGAGAATAATCTTAAAGAGTAAAAAGGGATAAAGGAAAAGGATCTTTATTTTCTTTAGAACATTTAAGACATGCACCAAGTAATTACCTAGTACTTTAAGATAAATAACACTTGAAATTTAAAAACAGTAGCACAAATAAATTATTTTTTATTGCAACTAGGGAGAATGAGGTGAGAACTCACCTACACGTGAAAGTAGCTTATGCATACCTAAAAAATTATCGTAAATCACAGTGCATATGTGTAAGTTTGAGAGTTATTCCGAAGTTCTTCATTTCTCCAAAGCCCTCACACTATGTATTTCTGTCCTTCCTAGTCAAGCTCCTTCCAGTTCTTCGGTGCTGTCGGCAGAAGAGACCGCCCGCACACACTGCACTGCTCCTATTTGGTCCCCAGACCCAAATCATTTCCTTCCTGGAGTTTGAAAGATTTCACAATTTGGTGTTTTTTTCCAGTATCTTAAAAATTAAAAGCTACATTTTCATTTTGGAGTTTACTAAAATAGTAGGGACAGTTATATTCAAAATACTCCTAACATCAAAAGTGAAGCCTGAATTTTTATAAGTTAAACAATGTATATAGGTAGCTATAAAAACAAAACCCACACCAGGGAGTTAATATTGTTAGTCTAACCATTTTTAGCAGAACTTTCATTAGGAAAAAGTATTTTGGGGCAGGAAATAATTTGGGACCAAGTTAAAATAGCCATAATGTCCAGAAAAAGAGCCACTAAGAGATCTCTGGCATTCAAGGACACCAAGCACTTGGACCCTGACGTCCTTACACAATATTCCTTACAAGTCCTTACAAAAATGGCCAGAGAGAGAAAATGACCAGCCATGGTTTTCCAGCTTCAGGTCTCAAGGGTGGCTTACTGTACATAAACATATAGAGATTTATCTTACTTTTCAACTTCAGTAGTTCTAGCTTTACTTATGAACAAATGCTAAATCAGACATGAATTGTTTTATAGCTATAGGATAAAACTAAAAAAGGAAACATCTTATTCAAGTTCAAATCGAGCTTTTAAAATGTTAGCCTACTTCAGAATTTAAGTTTTCCTCTTACCTGCTACAAACATGATCTATAAGCAGAGACACAGAATCTAGATTATTATCAAGTTTGGTATTGTGATATAGGCACCGATCCCTCTGTAGTTCCACCGCCTGCCGCAGGAGAGTCTGTAAACGCCGTGGGGGAAGCATCACTGATGGTGGTAAATATGCTTTAAATAGAAGAAATTTTTAAAAAGAGAAAATTAAAAAATAAAACAGGATAACCTTTTACATAAGACAGTTACTTATCTTCTGCTGCACTTGCCCCCACCCTAATAATACTGTTCTTAAATAGAGCAGTTCTGGGTTATGAAACAGGAGCTGTATGAATATTTATTTGTCTGTAGATGTGTTGCCACTAGAATGGAAGATACTTGAACAGGAGGGCTTTAAATATGTGGATCTTCTAAACAACAAACAAAAAAATCAATAAAAAAGAAATAGGCGGCCTGGCAGGTGTGGTTCAGTGGTTGATAGCCGACCTATGAACCAGGAAGTCATGGTTCAATTCCTGGTCAGGGCACATGCCCCGATTACAGGCTCGATCCCTAATAGGGGGTGTGCAGGAGGCAGCTGATCAATGATTCTCATCATCAATGTTTCTATTGCTCTTTCACTCTCCATTCCTCTCTGAAATCAATATAAATACTAAAAAAAATAAGTTAAAAAAAATGAAAAAGGCGGTAACAATGAAAACAAAATTAAAGATGATGTATGAGAGGGAGACTATGCATCACCAGAAGTATAAGAAAAATCTCCAGTTAACAAAGAACAAGTCAAAATCCTACAACAAGCCAAATTCTAGTTGCTTCTAGCGCCAATGAAAATTCAAGGAATAACTGGTGTCTTGATACTGATACCAATCTATTCTGATCCTTTAATGTCTAACACCTCCCCGTCACACTGTTTTCTGATTCTCAGAATCTCTGTTCTCAGATCAACATGAAATATAAAGAATAACATGGCTTAAGCACAGAGGGAAAGGTCTTTTATATAAAGATGTGGCAAAATGAAACTCCTACCCCAAATTGGAAGCCACAGAACATAGTTGAGGGGAGGGTAAGACAATTTACAGAAGAAATCTGGGCCTTATTATTGAAAAGACAATATTTACAACAGTCATGGTTTACATATATTTTTTGCCTAACCACGGCACTTTTCCCACAAACAAAATCTTACGGGGAGCATCGCTACATAAAACCAATAAAAGGGGAACTGCCTGGGACCAGCACCCTCTCACTGCCTCTGGAGGTTAGCTGCTTAGACTCCATGGTTTACAGAGTCTCTTGATGGACTTCCCCACCGCCTTTCCCTAAGTAACCACTCAGTAAGAGTGTGTCTAGACACAAGCCCTTCTAATTGGCTCACAATAGCTACTTCTCATCTAAGAACAAATACAGAGACACCCAAAAATTAAGACTCTTACTTTGAAGTTTGTCCAACAGTTTTGATCGGGAAGCTGTTCCTTTGCCTTCCCATTCTGCTTTTGCACGCAGGTCTTCTGCATGGCTACACATCAGATACCTAAAAACACGACAGGGAAAGAACCAAATAGCAAGTCCTTTTCTCTGGTTTAAAAAGAATTGAAAAATACTGATTCTACTCAAGATAGCTAGTTCTTCCTAAGAAACATTTATCAAGAATAAACTTCTGGAGTGGACCCAATTCATTAATACAACCTGGCATCTGGATATAATTAAAAAATGTCACATAACAGAAGTAGCTAAATACATGTAATTGTTATATTATCTATGAACATATTCTTATATATATTGTAATCGTTATCTATATATAGCTCCTATTGTGTGCCAGCCTCTGTTCTAAGCACTCAACATCTATTATTACTTCATTTAATGCTCATAACCATCCTGTATGAAGTATGCCCTATTATTCTAGTTTTATAAATGAGGAATTGAAGACAAAGAGTTTAAGTCACTGACATAGGGTCAAGTTAAGAGGCAAAGTAGGAATATGAATCCAGACACTCTAGCTGTAGAACTTGCTCTTAACCACCATGCTAACTTAACAGCTTTCACTAGTAATACAAAACAAAACCTTAAAAGTTATATTAATTAAACAAAACAACATACCTTTAAGAGATTATCATAAACGTCACTCAAGAAATGGTATAATTGGACAACCATCCTTGTGTCATCCTGTGAAAGGTCCTGCGATCCCAAAGCAGGAAATTTGGGAACTGCTTTCTTACTCACTATCTGTGCCGAAGGAGGCATAAACGCTAAAGTTCATGGACTCTGGAGAATACATGAGGGCCCCCTGCTGGAAGTGTGACCCTGACCTGGTTCTGGCTCTTCTCAGAAGAACGGGCTTTAAAAGTAAAAGAAGTGAAGGCATTATTCAAACATGGAGATTAGACCTGGCAAGTAACTCTCCTCCTATTTTTGTCTGTTCTCAGACAAATCTGTTCTTCTCACTTGTAAAGAGGGCATGAAACAAGGCAGTAAGGATTAAGTGAGATGGAGTATGAGCATATGAGGTACTTGGTCCACTTCCTGGTATACACATAGAGCTTAATAAATGATAATATAAGTACCAGAAACCTGCCAGTTAACCCAAGTATCACCTCCTCCTTTTCTTAACTGCATAAAGCATATTGCACTTAGCATTTAAATCAATTAATAGCCTTTCACCCAACAACAGAACTACTTGTTCTCTTGCTATTTAGTATATAGAGCCTTAGCTGATGAGAACTTAATTTTAAAAAATAGTATGAGTAGTTAGATTTAAGCTGAATACTGCAAAAATTTGGTTTCTAAAATAACCTTTGGGAGTAAAATTTATTATCAATAATTCTGAGAAAATAATTTACTTTTTAAATTTTGCAAAAATAACCTACAATGGTTTCTGTGCCCTTTTGAAAATATTACACCTTAAGGTTTCAAAGGAAGTCACATGTATAACTGAAAATACTGGACTGAGTTCTGATGTCAGTTCCACATCTTGTCACCTCTAGGCCATTTACTTATGTGCAATAGTCTAGGGACAAACTTGATGAAGCTCACTGCAGAATAAGACCGCTGTGATGAAAGTGTATGCATTACTGCCAGAGCAGAAAAGAAAGCCCACCATGTGAATGCCACTTAGGTGACACAGAAATCAGACACCTCTGAAAGAGGTAATCCGCATGAAGTAATGTGTCAGCTGCAATACTGAAATATCCAGAAGAACTGACTATTTCAAGATGTTGTAGTGGGCCAAGACCAATGATTTTGGAATCAGTCAAACCAGGCTTTGAATCTTGGCTGACTTACTAGCTGTATCTTGGGCTGCTTGCTTCACCTGAGGCTTAGTTTCCGTATCTGCAAAAACCCTAAAGTGAACCCTGTACATCTTAGGGCCTATCTTTTTGTATATATTTGAAAACTCATGTGTCAGATATTGCTCTACATCAGGGGTGGGGCACCCTTTTTCTGCCCAGGGCCATTTGGATATTTTTAACATCGTTTGCTTAATATAAACTTATGTTGCTATGACGAGATCGGGCGCGTTCAGGGTGGTATGGCCATAGACTATGTTGCTATGAAAAAAGCTCCTAGATACATTGAATTTCGAGTCCCACCTGCGGTTGCATGGCCAGACCAAATGATTTCACGGGCCTTATATGGCTTGAGGGCCAGACATTTCCCACCCTATTCTAGATGCAAGGGGCCCTATCATATAATGAAAAATGCTATAAAGAAAAACAAATTAAAAACAGAGTGATATGACAGAGAATGCCTGGTGGGTGGTCTCAGGAGCGGATATTTGGGTTGGGACCTGAGCCAACTATGCAGAGATTAGGGGAAGAGCATTTAAGATAAAGCGAATAGGCAGTAGATGCCTTCACGTTAGTGTCACTACAGTAATGAACCAGGGAAAAGAGGGCGGGAAAGGATCCGGGCCCTTGTGGGCCTGGGCGTTTTAAGCATGCTAGAAAGCCAGTGGACAGTTTTAAGAAAGGAGAGAAATGGTTAATGCATGGTTTTGCTTATGTGTTTCTATGGCTGCTGTGCGAAATACGCATTAAGGGAGGGAGAGGCGCTTATGGCTTACCTAGGGTAGAAATTGTGGAGGTGAAGAGAAACGGACAAACCTGGGATGTTTTAGAGTTAGGCCCTTTCCTGTCTTCTCTCCCTCCTGCCTCCTGGGGCATTACCTTTGCCTTTCTCTCTAAGTTCCAGTGCCCTTCTTCTGCCTCTGAAACTTGTTTCCTGAGCTTATGCAGCCCAGCTGGTTCACTTCTACTACCTCTAAAATTTTCTAAACAAATTTTCTCTTATAATTTTTTTTTTAAAAAAGCAAGGATGAGGCTTAAGTTTTTTGTCTGAGCAAGTGGGTAAAAGGTCTTACCATTTACTGAGATGAGGAACAGGTCAGTGAGAGTGAAGTGGGTAGATGGGCAGCCGGAATCAAGAATTTTGTTTTGAACATTTAACTGAGGCACCTATTAGCCAAACGGAGACTGTCAAGTAGGCTATTAGATATGTACGTTGGGAGTTCAGATGAAAGGTGAATTTCAGAGCCACCGGCAGATCGATGGTCTGTGAAGGCAGGGTACAAAATGAGGTACCTTGGGAAAGTGTTTAGACAGAACAGAAAGGAGGTCCAGAACCAGGCCTTTGGGCATGCTAACTTTTAAAGGATTGACATGAAAATAACATGAGGTTGTACATATGAAGTGCTTAGCAAGGACCTGGTAAATGGTAAGTGTACATTAAGAGAATATACACATCAATTCTGGAAACTTCATTGCTTATTAGTTTTGTAGAAGATTCTGAAATGGCCTTTCACGGGCAATACATATTTCTTCTTCCTTTTACCCACTTAAGTATTTCTCTATTCTAATATGGAAAGCTTCCTAGCAGGACAAAAAAGAGTACATCTATAAGTGACTCTATCCAGGTTAGTGTTACCTAAGAATTTAGCAATATTCAGATCTTGGAAAAATGTTAAGAGATGTGACTTTGAAAGCTGACCTTGATAAAAGTAACAGCCCCTCCATCAACCTGGAGTCTAAGAACTAGGCCTTCTTACCCACTAAGAACATGAATGCGCTCTGTATTGTATTTCAGTGGCGTCAATTCACAGCGTAGAACCTGAAGGGCCTCCAGGACCTTGCCATCCTCCAGGTATTCCAGGTACTTCTGCTGCAGCAGCAAGAACTTCATCCTCTGACATGACAGAAAGCAGCAGTCAGGGGAAAAAAGTTGACGGAAGGTTCAGAAAATGTTTGTGCCTAAACAGAACAGTAGAAACCATTCTACTACGCCCTTTGACAATAACTTTTTAAAAAGCTTTAATATGACTCAAAATATTTGGGTTTAATGGAGTCACAGCATATTAAATGTGACTGTGCTCAATTTCATGTCTTAACACAACAGTTTTGAATAATCTCAAATTAGATACGATCATTAATGACATCGAAACAGGAAAGAATAAATTCTGCCCTCAAAACATTCACCTAGAATTTTATTTCTTCTATAAAAATTTAGAACTATTTACAGCACTCTAAATTTTCTTTTTAAAAAAAGTCTGGGACTTTTATAATGGACAGTGGGAACATTTTAGGGAACAGGTTTTGGAAAAAAACACAGAAAATTTCATTAGTGAAGAGATTATTTAAAATCCACAAGGTGAAAGAAGGACTGAGGAGACCAGAAAGCAGACCTGGAGACATGAGGTAGAAGTTGCAAAGTGTCAGATTTTGGCTTATCGAAAGTAAGAAGAGCTGCCCAGCAAATGGACTAAAGGTTGGTGCGCAAAGTACCGAGTTTCCTGGGCCTCAAGTGGACAAGCATAAGCCTGACGGGACTCACTCTACAGGCAATAAAGGTCCAACTCAAAGGTTTTTAAGAAGATTCAATATTTGTATTTGTGGGTTGGTAACAACCTGATCACTGATACACATAACTATGAAGCACAGACAATTATCGGCTCTTTCCCCTTAAAGGATAAACCATTTCCAACTTATGAAATACTTCCACATGTAGTTTTGTTTTTTCCCCCTGAAATGTGCTGGGCTTCAGTGTTCTCTAATGTTCCTTTACTATATTATTTTAACTGGAAAGTAACTTGAAAATCTTAGCAGCTTTTTGCTAAAGCAAAGAGAGATTTATGAATATCAAGTTTGGTATTTCTTTTAAACCTTAAACCAATTAAGGACACTGCCTAGAGGGACTTTCATTATATCTGCTACCCGGGGAGCTTGAAGCCAACTGATGTACATAGAGAACCTTGTTAGTAGATAGGAAGTGTTAGTTATACTTAGAGAATCCAAGAAATAGTGGTAAAAATCTCAAATCCACTTACTTTAAAAAGCATTTACTGCTTACTTTAAACACATTAAAATATACTTCTCTCAAAAGATGGTTTGAAGAAATTATCATTTATGTATGGAATTAAGAGCATCCTATAACTGCTCTACAAGATTTCCTATTAGGGAGTATTTAGAAGAAAGGCATAACCTCAGCTTATAAAAATGACTAGCTCTAGAGAAAATAAATAAAAACAAACCCTCTCATATAGATTAGGCACACATTTAAATACATCTTTTATAACATACATTACTTATGCTTGGTAATAATCTAATCTTAAAACTATAGCTAAAGACCAATAGGAAAAATTTCCAACTATGAGATAAGCTCCTATAACTCTAGAAAAATTAAACTTACCAAATTTTACCCAAAGTTACACTGACTTAAATGAGCACTTCAAAAACAGATTCGTTTTGAAGATGCTCTAAAAATTGTTGCTGTACATGCAACCGTAAGTTTACTTTTATATATCAAATTAAAAAATACTTTGGAGTCCATCAGGTGACAAAAAACAAAAACAGAAGACTAAGTAAAACAGAACAATCTAAAAATGAAAACATATTTGAAGTTCATTCTGGATATTCTCACCATTTTATCCTTTTAAAAACACTTCAACTCTTTATGAAGAATTCGTCTATTTCCATTTGTCAGTATACTGGTAAAAGTTTAATATCACATAGTGTTTTTGAATCAAATTTGAGAATCATATTTTGTTACAGAATTTTTAAATTTAAATGTCACATGGAGCTGGCCAGAATTTGCATTTCATTTCTTCACTAAATTTTCTTAACAATTGGTAATTTGGGGAAAAATTTTTTTAATTCAGGGCAAATTTTTAACTTATTTATTTATTGGGTATCAATCATTACGTCCTATGCACACCCCTCTGCCATTCCAATGTGTGTAGGGACAGTGCCCCAAGTGCTGTTTCCCCCTTATTTTCCCACCAAGATCCTGCTAGAACATGTTATTCTCTTTCCATGGGGCAGAGGAGGAGAGGAGAGGAGAGGAAGGCAAGAGAAGCCAATATAAACACGTTTTTCTGGGCACAGGGAATGCTATGAAAGCAGCGCAAGAACATTTCTCTCTGAGTCATTTTATCCAGATTAAGACAAAGAATATCCTGAAACTGGTATCAAATCTTGGTGGTGCACATGGCAGAGAACATGCTGCCGGCTAAGCACAGGACGATGAGGCTGAGAGAGAAAGTGCTTCTTCTACCTAAAACCAAGCGTCTGATGCACATGATAAGGATGGCGAGTAAAACTGTGTTTTACTTCCCAAAATTTAAGGCACAAAAATGCAAATACAGTTTCAAGAAAATAAATATCTTTCAAAAATGATGTTAACTTATTTACTAAAAATGTTTTAAAAAGAAGGCAAAACTCAAGTTTGCTGAAATGTGGGATCAGGGCTTTACTCATGGTTTTTTAAAAGATCACGTGCTTCTTAAATGAAGAAGGAAAGGAAAGAAGAGAAAGTGAACTCTCTTTTCTGTTTCCCCAACTCCTAATTTTTTAGATTATTTCTGGTCTCTGATAACTTTGCGGCATCTTTGGGTCCAGCAGTTTTGCTTTCACTTGCTATCTAACATAAACTTGACATTGGTAAGTGAATAGGACAGCTTTAAAGATAGTTTCACATGGTAAATCTGGCTGTTGCCTACCCAATATTTGTATTGGTTTATCCTTTCCTCCCATGTAATTACACTGAACTCAATGTTGGGGGGGCGGGGAAAAAAGAACTCAAAAGTTACGATACACAGGAAGTGTGTTTATCAAGAACAGCCTCTTAGCCAACTTAGTAGTGGTTCTGACTAACTCTGGAACAAGGTTTTAACCAAGTTATATCAATTAAATGACTCAGAGGAAAGGGGAAATGAATTATATTTAAACCATGGCTCTCAAAACTCCTCCCTATTTGACTTTAAAATATACTACTTCAATTTTGCACATTAATATTTGAACAGTTTCGTTAAGCATTTCAATTATATTGAAAAATAAAGAATCAAACACATTTAGACATATAGGAGTTTTTTATGTTGACCTCAACTACCCACCCCAATTCCTCAGACATGGCTAAGCATATCTGAACCCAAACTAAAAAAATGTTGATTCATGAGCTCAGCTTCCAGAAAATCCAGAGCAAATTCTGCTATTTCTGGTATTATTTGACTGGAAACCATTTAAAAATATGGGGAGTAGGGAAAGGGAGGTGCGCAGGGGAAAGTGGAGAGTGATCAGGTCAATAAAAACATTCAGGTTTAAAAAGTAAAATACAATTTTAGTCTAGACTAAATCATCAAGTGTGTCTGGCTATACAGTTAAAATAATTATGTTAAAAAAAAAACCACCCACCAAATAGTTGTCTTCTACTACAAACTTATGCTTACATTAGATTATCTTCTGGAGGAGGAGGGGGAGAGGAGTAAACCTAAACATACTTAGAAAGGTGAAAAAAAATGCTGAACTGCATTTTTAAAAGCAATTGATTCATCAATGCTTAAAGTAAGATAAAACTGGAACCCCTTTCTTTGTATAAATACCTAAACAGTTTGATGGCGTGAGGCTCAGCCAGAGATTTAATCTTCATCTTTTATTAGATCCTAGAATGTTCTATAGACTGAACAGGCTGTAAAAAGAAAGGATTCCTCCTTATTATCTAAAACTACCTTTATTCAGTTAACATGTTGCTTCTAATGAAGGTTTCTAATGAGATACAATAATAATCTAAATCCAATACAGAAGTCTCAAATTACTATAAAAATTTAAGAAAAAGAGGAAGTGAGCCTATTCAAATTTTTACTACTAAATTACAGATACAATTTGGGTGAAGCTTAAAAAAGGAAAGCAATCCTCCAAGAAATCACATCCTATTTTAAAATAGTCCATGGGCAAGTTCGTTACTGTCACCATATAAGCAATGCTAGCTTGTCTGATGGGAAAGGAAACCCGATTCTTATTTTGGCTTTAAATGCCTTGGTTTTATTTTAGGGTCACCTTCCACCCCACCAGAGCTAACAATTTATGAAAAGCTGGCCAGTTAAAATATACTTAGGTGTTTTTCTTTTTAAAACTCCAAACACACTAATTGGGGAAAATTTAGTCACTGGAAAATTTGTAATCCTTTTGAATATAGATGTTTATTTTAACTTCTGTGTTTTCATTTTAAAAATTGACCATGGAATTGATTATTCCATGAGTTAATTAATAATCAACCATCTGATTCAATAATAACAAGTTAAAATTTTTAGTATTTTAAATACTTAGTAAGAGAAAAAAAGATAATCAATTTAAATGAACCAGTATTTGTTCATATTTGTTTGCACCTTTAATTCACCTAAAGGCCATTCTCTAGGATTATATAATTGTATAAAATCACACGAAGAATTTGAAAACTTTTGTAATTAAGATTTGTTTTTAAAACCCCAAAAAACAAAAACAGGAGACTCTGTAAGGTTTACAGACAAAGGCAGAAAGATCAATGTTTGACCCAATTAAAAAAAAATCAGAAGTAACACTCATGTACTAATATTTAACAAACAGCTGGTTTCCTTACTTCACTTCCTATTCACCCTTGTCCCTCCCCCACCAGACAGGAAATTGCTTCTGACAACAAATCAATCAGCTAGAAGCAAAAAAGCCAGCAGGAAGAGGCCAGGCAGCTGATTCTTCATGGTTTCCAATCACAAGCGCTTAGAAAACACTGTATCCCCTCTCTCTCAGCGGTATCTACTGCAGAGGTGAAGCCTATCAGTATAAAAGATTCACTGAGACTTATGAGAGAGGCCACCCAGTCAACTACTCAATTGATCTTGTTGGGGAAATAAGGCCAGTACGCAGAACCCAATGGTCAAACACACATACAAACCCTCACAGAGTCATACTTATTATACAGACTTTGACACTGTCAATTCACACAACTGGAATGCAAGCATGGGAAATGGTGAGCACACCAACAGAGCTGGGTTGAATGAACTATAATTATAATTGCCAAAGATGAACAAAATTAGTGTCAGCTCCTTAAGGCCTATAGACATACATACACCCAAATACATTCTTTACCAGCACATTCAGTATTTTTAGTAATCTAAATGTATAATTTATCCTTGATTCTAGAAGTATAGAACTCCTATGAAACAGCACTATAAGCATTATCTTTCAATATAATTTTGTATTGAGCGTAATTTGTAAATTAGGTTCAAAGAGGCACTTATACACGATTTTAAAAATAGAGCTCGAACTTTAACAAATCATAAACATTCATCTTAGTTTATAGATTTAATTACATGAAATTTAATTCTTTTTAGGCCTTATCTTTTATAAGAGGCAGAAGCCTAGAGTTATCAATAACCTATTAAAATAAGCATAAATGTGAAACTAAGAACAAAAGTGTATTTACCACAATTATTCCCAACAACGTTTGAGAGATTTCAAGTGCGCCTCTTACCACAATAGCATGAGGAGAATGCACTAAAGGCTTTAGTTCATTCAGGTCATTTTCTGCCTGCAAAAATCGGTATAAGAGAGAAACAGAAATGTCACAACCTGCACGTCAGATATGTAATGTTAGCAGCAGTCACACAGCTCTATAGGCCCTACTTTACCTTATCCCAGTCTCCTTCCATGACATGATTTCGGAATTTGGTGGCAGAAGGATGTTCTAAACGACATCCTGACTCTTGCATGAGGAGATCAACAGTCTGGCTGCAGGAGAGATACAGTGTAAAAACGACCTGCCCAAGTTCAGGGTTCACTCTTCCAAACAAGCGAATGTCTATGAAAACAGTTGCCAACGTTTTTCAACTAATTTCAGGAAGAAAAAAGAAATAAAGAGCTTTCATGTGCTTGGCAAAACCAACTCGATTTTTAAACTGCCACCTTCGATTCTATCCAGTTAAGTTAAAAGCCTTCCTGAAACCAGAATCAAAGTAAGTTCTTTCTATTCTGCCATTTAATGCCTCAAAAGTTTAAATGAAGTATAAAATTCCTAAAAACATGTTATAACCAATTGGTTCAATAAATGGAAAAAAACAAACATACACACACGCAACAGGATCTCCCTAACCTTACATTTCGTAAGATAAAAAATGTTAGCTCCATACAAGGTGATAGCGATGACTTGCCATTGGGGGGGAGAGTCTGACATCCAGACATCATGTTTGCATAGAAATTCTAGTAGGTCAGTCTTTAAAATGGAAATAAATCCAGCCTCAAAAATCATCCCCTTTCTCTCTATCCTAAAAATAGCCAATTTACTATGGTGTGGGTTCCAAACAGTCACGAGGTATTTCCTCCTGCTGCTGTCAGCTTGCTTCTGGTCTCAGTAAGACGCTGCTAGCACTTACAAAGCCTATTTTCATACTAATTCCTTTTCCTTCGGGCAAAGAAGGGAAATCTTCCTATATCTCTCTTTGGAAGCATAAAAGGCTCATCACAAGTGGCCCGGATATTTTGACACCTAAGAATCTTCCTTTATCAGTTCTGACATGTTTGTTTATGTTTCCATGTTTTCTTACTCAGCCCCGGTTATTTTTCAGCTAAACAGTGCCATCAGCCATCTGCCCGAGAATCAGAATACTTATGTCACCTTAGAAAGTGCTCCTTCCCCTTCCCCAGAGCGAATGTGGACCCAACACGACCACACGGGCTGGCCCCGGAGCGTGTTTCAATCGCCAGCCGCTGGGAGCTGGGAAAGGCTGTGGCCTGTTCCCCCTTCCTCTGCCTGGGGCTCCTCGGCACCCCCCAACCCGACCTCCTCCCTCGGTTTTTCTTTGTGCACACACGGTGGTTTGGGGCCAAGGTCGCCGCCCCCCTTCACCCCATTTAGGTTCATCAGGCCGCCTCAACTGTATTGGAAAATAAACGATTCACCGGATCAGATGCCCCCTTTCAGAGGCAGTAAATCGGGGTTCCGGTGGAGCCAGGGGCAGGCCCCGGGGGGACACACACACACACACACCCGGCGGGGCCTCTGCATGACACCCGCGCGGCCTCCCCCTCCAGGACTCCCCTCCGAGGCGTCCACCCTCCTCCCCCAG